ATCAAAGGACAAAATAATAAATAAGGAAGGAAAAGTTTTGATAGAAAAACTAACGGAAAGTGAGTGGGCGATACTGAATGGGGATGCGATGAGGTGATATGGGAGAGGGGGTTGACGTACATAGAGGAGTCAGGAATGTCAGTCATTGATTACATATATAGTGTCCAATGGGAATGCAGAAGAGGAAGTGAAGGTACAGGAGGAGGAGAGGGAAGATTCAGATCACCTACGATTGGAGATAGAAATTGGAAGGAGAGAGAGAGAAGGGCGAGGAAGAGAGGGACGAAAGACGGGGAAGAGGACGGTCGAAAAAGGATATGGACACAGAAGGGAATATTGGGAGGGAACTATAAGGGAGCACTAACATGAGCGGTGCGAAAGGTATAGCGACAAAGAAAACACAAATGAGCTATGGGAGGATATAAGAGAAAAAGTGAAAAATGCAACAGTGAAGGAAACCAGAAAAGTAGGGAGCTAAGTGCGTAGCATAATAAGAAATGGAAAAGAAGAAAAAGAGAAGTGAGAAGATGTCTACGTCAATTCAGGGAAGACAAAGTAGGAAGGGAAGAACTTACAAAAAAGAAGAATGAGTATGGAGACTTGTGTAGAAATGAAGGAATAAAATACAGGGAAGGGGAGGAAAGAAGGATAAGAGATATAACAACAGAAAGAAGGTTGGACGTATATTAACAGGCTAAGAAAAAAAAGAGTCGGAATAGACGAAAACATATAAATGAGAGAATAAAAAACACCAACCTCCAGCAAATTGGTTGATATGTTAGTATTGCTATTAAAATGATATATTATATTAACATCAGATGTACTTGTATTGAGTTAAAAGTGGACCATTACAATGAAAATTCGTTCATTCACGTGAGAAATATCATCATGCTTATTTATTGGTTAAAGGTATTGTCTTTAAAATCGAATAAACAAAATGGGGGTGAAGTATCTGTTATTTATATGCAATGTGTCGCGCACTGTGACTGGAGATAATTCTGCATGTAAAACTGTGTCGAGAAGAAAAATAAAAATTTTTTCTTAACGTAATATATAATGTAATATTATAAGTGAAGTATAATGATATAATAAAAAAGTAAATACAATATTATAAGTAAATTTTCAGAACATTTTTTCGTTTTCGAGAAAAATAAGTTTGAAAACATATCAATTATATTTTGAATTTAACTAATTCTGAATAAGGTGCAAATAACCGGCACGGAGATATTCTATGTGTAAAAATAAGTGAAAAAAGTAGAATGAAATGTTTTCATTTAAAGCGTCATTTTTATAAAAATAAACTATGTATATGTTTCATTAAAAATTGACTTAGTACACGTGCGCCTGATAAATATTCAAATTCGATGTTCTTTAAAACAAAGCAACTTACGAAAAATTTTTATTGTACATTTGTATAGTTTTATTGTACATTTTTTCTCATACGTAGAACAATCTCGTGTTAAAACTATTTTTTTCTATCACATTAAGGATTAGTTAAATTTAAGTGCGCTTGATAAGTTTTCAAACTTGATCTTCATTCGATGGCTTTAATAAACAAATTATATTCTTTCTTATCAACTTATGTAGCATCATTTCCTAATCGGTTGACTGTGTACATCCTATACAAAAAAGCAATTTTAACATTTAGTATATTTCCAATTAATTCTACCTTATTTGAACTGTTTTTGAAGCTTGAAAATGTGTTTATACTATCTAATGTATTCAAATATATTAACGATACTAATAGTGATAAATTGTTTAATAGTTATTCCTTATGAAATATAATCCAAAACTTCTCGGATCCATTTTTAAGGATAATATATCTTTGTACATTATAAATTAATGTCAGCTAATTAAATCACATAAAATTCATTTCTTAACGTTAAGTAATGTAGAATAATAGAGTAATAAAGTAATCAAAGAAAATAAACAAATATAGATTTATCATATTTTTTTCTTGAGCTTTTCAAATATTAATATGATAACTAATTTGAAATTCAAAATAATTATATACTAATCCCGCATGCTAATCTATGTACATATAAGCTATATTTATTACGCACGATATAAAAATATATTTATTTTAGTAATTTATTTCAGATAAATAGTATAGATCTCTAAATGAAATTCATGTAAATATGTTGCAATAATAGGCAATCACTAATGTACGTTTAGAAAGTTAAAATAAAATAGCCAAGCTGCAGATGATTACAGATGTTTGATGTTCGAAATATCCTTGTCCACAAATTAAAAAATGTGTTATAATAATTGGAGATATTCCTGACTTCTAGGAGTGTCATAACTTACACACTCTACCTAACATTTCCAACAGTACGTTTGAATGAAATAAATGCTCATTCGTTCGCCAATTCGGCTAAATTTAAATCTAGCATCATTCCATGTTCAGTCAATTCTTTGCCAAATGTTAGAATGCGTGAGAAATAACTATTGAGCATTCATCTAAGCCATGGGAAATATATTCGAAGTATTCAATCATTTCTTCGCATTCACGGTTCTAAAATCGCAGGACAATACCTGTCATATTTGCATTAAAATTAGAAAAATTAAATAATATTTTGTACAATAAAAAATTTGTGAAGCATTAATACATTAATGACAACATATACATTAATGACAATATAATATACTATCGTAAATATCTACTGAATATTAAAACTAAAACTAAAAATGTTCAAAGATATTTGAAAGCGAGTGATTAGACGAATTAGTAAATTTATAGATCAATCATTCTCTCACCGATCTTGTTAAATTCTAACTATGTTGTAGAAATCGACAATTAAAACAACTCTCTTCCCAAGAAAATGTCAATCTTTTAACACATATAAAAATCATCGGGACTGGAGGGTTTGGTTCATGTACTGTTTTATTCCCGAATTTTGTCGATGGGCAAATAAATTTTGATTGATTTGTTTAATTTAAAAGTATCAGTGTTAAACTTTCTCAAAAGCTGATTTGGAGACTAAAATGTCGTGAAATTTCGAGACTTCGCTGATCTATGATGTGTTTATGATTATTCAACAGCAGAGCAAACTTCAAATTCACTAATAATCCCAGGAAAGGAGAAGTTCCTCACGATTAAAAATTATAAAAATGATTGAATAATAAACTACACGAACACTATAATTTTATAAAATAACATTCATACAATAGTAAATCTGAGCTCATTTTAAAACTTGAAGCTTCTATTTCCAAAATGCGTCTTTCATTTTATCGTAAAATATTATTACATCACTTAACGGGAGGACAAATGAAGATACTTTTCATCTTGAAAATGCTATAAATTGTCACAGTATGCAGAAGCATCGAAAAATTTCATTTATGATTGAATTTACAATGAATTTGAAGATTGACGTGTCCTCCTTATAATAACCCCAGAAAACTTGATGTATGATCTTTCCTTGTTATTTATGAATCTAAATATTAAGTTTAGATGAACAAGAATTCAAAATATCGTAACTTTATCGTTTAATATTCAAAGTTAAATAAATTGGGAAAAAAGGAACATACAATAAGTTTTAAACTGTCGCTGTATATTTAATCGTGAAAATTTCAATGTTTTCACGTACTATGATAATTTATAGCACATTCGAAAAAAAAGTGTCTTCCAATTCGTATATTTGCATAATTTAAAAATCTTTTAAAATAAAGTGAATAATGTACATATTTTAAGAGTAGAGGCTTCAGGCTTTAAAATAAGTTTAAGTTTATTATTATATGATAATATTTAAAAAACTATGACAATTCAATATTAATGGGAGTCACAGTATGTAAAGTTTGCTTCTGCATCGTAATCGGAAAAGTTGATTTCGCAGTATTTATTTTCTCGGAAAGTGCCCGTTTATTCTACTACTATGATTATTCTTTGAAAAAGTGTATTGAATTATGTCATTAATTTCACATGCTTGTAACAGTTAACTAATGTAATTCCAAATAAATACGAACGGAAATAATATCGAGCGAACACAATACATTATCAAAGTAGAGTTTCAAGTACGTCAATACTGTTGTTTCATCAAAATCAGTCAGTCATGTCATTGTTGATGATACTTGAGAATATCCTTTATAATTAAGTATCATGTTTTTTACATATGTCATGGATATAGTATAGTTCACAGAATTTCGTATTCAAAGTAACAATAAACTCAATAAGAACATTAGAAGATAAGAATACAAGAAATTTAAATTTCAATTATATCAAAATATTAAATGTAATATTAAAGAGGATAATAAAATTAATTAGCAGGTGTGTCCAACTTCCAAACATATAAACAATGAAAAGATACAATACAAACTTTAAACAGCTAAATACATACCATTACATTTTTTCTTTATTCTAGCAATAATACTGATCGTACGATATTTCAACGATGTTCTTAACCCGGGATTACCCACGTGAGGGTCTAATCGTCGGGATGTACCTGCGCTAGACCCCCAGGTGGGTAATCCCGGGTTAATCCAGTATCCACGATAATATTATTCTGAATCAGTTTGGAAATAATCCCGTCATTGCAATTTAAAACAGGATAAAAATATTCTGTCAGTAGAAAGCAGTACGTTAAAAAAAAGCATTTCCTGTAAAAAAATTTTCATAAAATGTAATACTTCACGATGTCTATTATGTCTAGCACAAATATTGCACAGCTCGAGGAGAACGCTCATACGCTCATACGAGAACTTCAAACGCTTCAAAAAATAAAATGCAGAAAAATAAAAACAGAGCAATAGCAATAGCAATAGAGAAATTCCAACTTCACTTCTCAAACGACAGTACTGACTCTTCTTTTCGTAATCTGTAATTTTCATGCTGCAACATACGTTGCTGTAAATGCGAGAAAATACCTGGGTTTGATTGATACTTTCCCCATACTATGGAGACAATTTATTCTTAAAACTTTATTCTTAAAGCGTAACTGTGTGAAAATTGCAGGGGAACAGGAAGAAAAAGAATAAAAGTAACGTTTTTTCTTGGAAACATTTATTATTCACGCGCATCGATGAACAGTTATTTTCCCCTCATGCGTAATTCACAAATTGTGTCACGCGACGGTGTCAATATTTTTGTCCCTCTCTTTAACTTTCTGCGAAATGTGTAAAGCCACGACTGCGGCCAGATATTTCCCTACAGTCGAATAGAATGGACTTCGACAGCTACAAGTATTACAGACACCTGAAATTCTGTTTCTTCGTGATAGGACTGACATTCTTGAAATCAACGCAGTTAAGAGTAGTGCACACTACGATCGTATGTCTGATACTTCTTCTCGGTTCAATATTTCTCATGGTAAGAATATTCCATTCGTACGAAATATCATTATTTAACCGGTTTTCTCGTACGTCAATACATTAGTTGAGAAAGAATTAATCTTTTATTTATATCTTTGTTATCAATCGTTTCAGTTTCTCTCAATTGTTTTCATTTCAAACAGGCATTATAGTTTTAATAGCAAATGTAAATATAGTATATGGTATATTCCTTTTTAAATCTGTAAAGGTAAGTTACAAGAGTCCAATTAATTTTATTTAGTCATTATAATATCATGTCATGTAACACCTTTCCTGGATTTTTCAAGATAGAAGATTGGTTGAAGGATATCAAACGTGATTCGAATCATATACAAGACAAAGAAGAATTGAAAATACTTAAAACACACGTAGCGATGGAAAACCGTTATGCAAATATTTATTTAAGTGAGAAATAAAATCGTCGCATAAGGTGGCAAAGAAAAGTATAACGATAATATTTAAAATGCATTGCAGTTATAATTTGTACTGGTTATTTCGTTCTTACTGTGACGCTGTTTCTTCCACATCGCATTCTCGAGGCTTTAAAGCGTAGATATTAATATCTACGAACAAAATTCTCTGTTATTTATCGTTTATTTCAATGACGCTTCTGAAACAATCTCGAAATTATTATTTGACTTTCATTTTAACGAGTATTACATATATTTTAATGGGAGCAGTTACGCATTGTCGCAATGTTTTCTTTTCATTGACTATTTTGTACGTGAACTGTACAAAATTGCTGTGTGAGTATAGTTTTGATTCTACCAATAGCGATTGGATATTATGAAGTTTCACACTTATTAGTTACCAAATAAAAAATGCCGTGGATGGAAATTTGATAGAAATGGCCAGTTCCAAGAAAGATATCGTTATACGCAATAAAATAATAAAATCAATGGAAATTTATAACTTAATAATAAAGTTAGTATCTTCTCAGTTAAGTGCTAATACACCAATACTTATGCAAAGTTTATTTTTGCGAATATTTGCTGTCTTTGAACTTGAATATTTTAAATGTCTTCTTAAGTTTTTCTACGTGAACTTAGATTCATTACATTACGTAGACATGCTTATATTATATTAATTCATTCTTTTTCAAAGGTGGATTAGGTATCTGAAACACAATTTCTCATTGTCCTGCCTATTAAACTTTCTAGCAATGTCAATATATTACGCAGTGATCATGTAAGTATCATCACAGTGTGTCCCGTACTGGAAACGTTGCATAAATAATGTGACAGAAATCTGACGATTTTTAATTTGGAAAGCTGTCAATTGTTTCAATTAACAATACAAAGATTAAGTCACGTAATCGCTTGTTGCGATTATTAATTATATAATTATCTGGACAAAATGTTAGATTTAAAATTTAAAGCAACGATTAATTTGAGATTTATAACGATTAAAATTGCAAGGTTTGATGAAATGTAAGTGATAAAATAATAACAAATCTTTGAATATTAATGGGAGTATTCTCTGAAAAATAATGGAATATGTATCAGAGAAATCTTACTACATAAAATTTAATTATATTGTAATTCATCTGTACTGTCATACTTACTTAAAATGTGAAAACTTGAAACTATTTCATTTCAGAAATCGTCAGATTCTCAACCCTGTATTGTATTACGTTTATGGTATATCCTGTTTAGATTTCCAGGACGATGTTCCATGGACATAGTTTTGCCATGATTATGAACTTTGTTATGATAATATGTGCTACACTGTTCGTTATTGATGCATACCATACAATACAATGCATGTTCGACGAAAGTCAGAAATTCTTTTATATTCCGTAAGTACGCAAAATAATTTTCATTATTTTTTTAACTGTTATTTAATCGTTAGTTATTTCTTTATTACTCTTTATATAAGATTCATTCTATATACGATTTATTATTGTCTATTTGTTGCTTTAAGCCACATGTCTTGAAAAAGTATATTTATCATCACGTATATAAATTGTGTACATATAATTTAAATATTATGTAATTTTTCTATTATTATACGTCATTTGCATATTATAAATATAGCTTTATAAAATTATTTTAAGGAAGAGGAGTGAGTTATTTAAATTATTTAGTATAATATTCTATTGTCTCTAGGAAATAATTGGATTAAAATATAATATAGCTAAAATATATAAATGACCAATATATTATGATAAATATATAGTATGACCAAAATGTTCAAAACTGTTCCTTTTCGGGGAATAAACATTTTTTGCTTGTATCGAATATTAAGTATAATAGAATAACTGTTAGATGCTGAGTTTCAACCATAATTTGAACTTTTATTTATGAAAATAATTTGAAAGTTTGATTTATGATAATAATACTATTGATAAAATATTCAAAAATCGAATTATTATCTAATGTGAAAAATTTGAAATATACCAATATATATTAAATATGTACTAAATTAATATGTATCGAATTTGAAATTTAGTAGTTTTTTAATGTCTTTTAAAAGAAGTATGCATTGCTGGAAAAAAAAATGAATTTCAACGATTCGTTTGAATAAATTTTGAATAATCTTACAATACTTAATCATGATTAAAGCGTTAATTTCGGAACGGAAAAGTTTTCCGGCTTATAGTTTCTTTTATGTGCTTTAATGGCAGTACCAAATACAGAATACAGTACTCAAGTTTGGCCATTTATTTCCTTGATACAGATTACCCTCTATATACGTGAAGAATAAAGTACGCAAAGATGCACAGTATGTAAAAGTAGAATTAGTTCCAGTGGAATCGTAACTTTCGTGTGAATGAACAACATCGCAAATATAGTTTCATTTGAAAAAATCAGTGGTGGTATGAGAGAACCCGAAAATATTAGATCGTAGCGGGTATTTTTTTCAGATTCAGGTCAGATTCCTTTAAATTTCGAAATAATTTCGGGAAATGTTCGAATTTTCCAAAAAAGTTGGGTTAGTCAAAAACTCTTTTGGGTTAGTCAAAAAAAAAAAAAATTGTTTTGAACGAAAATTTGAAACAAAATGTTACATTTGGATATCACATATTTGGTTAATACTCTTATTTCATGCTCTGTCTTTCGTAATTTTAGAATTCTCGGGAAACCTAACTCCATCGGAAATTTTGAAAGAGCCGGGAATTTCGACGTGATCATCGAATTTTCACTTTTGGGTACAACATACACTTTCGGATTTTCTCATAATTTTCACTAAGAAAGCACTAAATTGGTGCCCCCCCCCCCCCCCCCCCTCCCGTTAAAAATATCTTGACCATCATTATGTGTCTTTTTCCCGCAATAAATTCCATCGGCAAAATTTTTTCGAATAACTTTGAAAGACAATTGCGTGGAACATCTCACAAGCTTACGCAAACAAGTAAATTCTTAAACAAAGAAGCATCATTTACAAATAAATTCTGAGATATACTATAGAATGTAAAATTATATCAAATATCACGTTTTATTCCATTTCCGTCTCGTCAATATGGTTTTCTCAGATATACTATGGAATGGTATAATTTATCATTATCAATACAGAAATTGTTACTTTTTATTATGCAAAGAAACCATCATTCAGCAATATTAAATTTCTATGGTATATGGGTACCTACGTTCGAAAATTTGAGCACAGTTAGAAATATTACCGTGAGAATCCAAAATACATAAAATGAGAATGAAATATTTTTCCAGCAATTCAAATTATGTTGATCCTTCTTTATGTTTATGTATTCCACTCAGAAATAATGACAACGATTGTAGCACGTTAGCGGACCATACATGATGTACTAGTTGCTATACATTATTGTTGCCACTATAAGATGATACTTCATATTAACATCGCACGCATTTAGAATGCGTTAGAAATGATGCACCGGAATAAAGGAATACCTGGAGTTCATTCATTACCTGAAATGTACGATTAAAGGTATCATCTTTCATTTAAGTACGTCCCTTTATACATTATCAATCGCAATCACTGAAAATCATCTCAGATTCTAGAGAATTATATATACTACATACTTATATTTATATATTTACTTATTGCAAAGTTCTTGTAATAAGAGACGCGCCTAATATTCCTTTTCTCGTTTTCTTTACAAAGTAATTTCATAATTATAATAATTTCCTCAACGTTCGTTCTGTTCAATAATTCTTATACTGATATTTAGAATCATCAGGTTCCACGACTTTAGACGCGCAATGATTACTCAACAATGCGTAATAGGCTTTATAGCCTAAAATATTCCCTTCAAATGCAGTAAGTCCTAAAGACTATACAGGAGAAATATTGTTTGCAGAAATCCTAGATTTTCTAGTATATTGTTTATAGAATTCCAAGGCAATTTGGTAATTTTTCAGTCGCTCATCAATCGAGTTGAAATCAAGTCTGAAAATCAGAAATAATTAGTTTATCTATTTTTAATTGAATAACCTGGTCGCTTTAACTGTACAGAAATGTTTCAACTGTATTATGGAAAATTATATTAATTAACTACGCTCTCAATTAGTTGTGTGTACTTGAACTATTTTTTATGGATATAATTTGGAATTTAAATATATCGGTATTCTTGTCATCTACTTATTAAGCATTTAGACACGCTAAAAACTTTGGTAGTAGCAGATACGGTTATATACTTTTTTGATTTCGTACAAAATTTATTCTCTAATTATCTGTCTTCTAAAAATACTCTATCTTTGTCTATTACTAAATAAGATTAAGTCACATAGATATGATTCTTTTCGTCTTCGAGTAGTACAGAAATTAAGTAATTAGTAGCCATAAGTTTATCGTGTTTTCTATAAATTTCAAGTATTGATCAAGTTATAAATTTTGATTCCAGAATAATTTTATTACCTATATATATGCATGCTAATTTATATTTTGTATTTAATTTTTCATCGTAAAAATATAATTCTGATTGTTTCAGATAAGTGATGGTTTTTTTAGGTACCAGAAAGAATAAATTGTATTTTGAACTAAACTTTAATCCATCGATTAGAATCAAACGTAATTGCAAATGTTTATATTGCAATAAGGGACGTATAGTCACTAAGATTGGAAAGTTTAAAACAAAAATTTCAACAGACTAATATTTAAAATATTCTAGTTCACAACTACAAGTTATTCAATAACAATTCACATTTAATATGTCAATTTTGTATTAACTTATGCAATGACATAATTTGGAACATATGCGAGGCTCTGTAATCAATAAATGCAATTATTTCCAGAACTATTTGTTGTTTGAAGAAATGTCTCATACTAAACATGTTTCGTTTTTTGAAGGAGAAACAATCTAATGCAATTAGTTTGTCTGTAAATGAAATTACATAATTTTTCACTCATTTATGCATTCTGATATTTTCTATAAGAAAAAGTAATAACTTAAACGTATATCGAAGAACTCTTTCAGAGATATTTTAACTTTAGTTCTGTAAAATCAATAAATGGAGGACGAGGTAGGACAAGGGCAATATTCCTGTTTTCGTACTATTCTCGTTTTTCGAACGATAAATTTCTTCAGTTGAAAATAAAGTTAAAATATCTCTTAAACTAATAACTTTTCAACTTACGTAAGTCGATATCTTTTCATAAAGGATATCTAGCTGCATCCATTGATTCGATGGATCAAAATGTATCATTTTTTTTAAAATAGTAGGAATAACAACGAAATCTCTTATAAAAATCATTTATTAAAAGAGAAAAAATAATACACACTTCACAGAATGTTGTCCTCCAAACCATACAACTTTCGTACAAACCATTTTTTTTCGTTCAATGAGAACTTTGGAAGTTATTCGAGGTGAGCACATTTTGCGCATTACTTGTGTGGTATGTAGTATATTATATTCTTTTCCTTCCTTTTTTTTACTTACAAAAGAAATTGGTCGGTCGGCAAGTAGAATGTATAAATCGATCAGTCCGATGAGTCGTCCTTGAAGTAGAGAAAGTAGCTTGCCAAAACTATGACTATATTAAATTATAAACGATGATATATTCCTGTTCCCTAGATAATTTTATTTTAAGAAAGACTAATTACGAATAAAAATTTAAGAAAGTTAAAGGCAAAATATGTATTAAAAAATATACTTAAATAAATATTTGCAAAATATTGGAACGCATTTTGAAACGCATTGAACATTAACTAGCATTCAATTCGAACGAAATATCCCATTCTTAAAAATCCTACTCTTTAGACAAATGTAGTATATTATCTCTGTCAAATTAACAAATTCTTGATTAATAAATTAATAAAATAATTGATAAAACATATTGGTTTTCCAAAAGCATTTCTATCGTTAACATATTTAAGATGGGTGATGAACCACAGTTCTCGTGTTTAAAAGTACAATGGAGAAACTAACAAATACAATGAGTTAATAGTGTGTTTTAGAGCTTATAATACATCAGTCAAAAATATATAAAGAAAGTCAATTTTATTTCTTCATGTATCGAGGTTGAAAAGTTGATTGAAGTCTCGAATGTATTACATAGAATCTTTTGCATATTTGTATAAGAAAAGAAAGTTAAATCACATAGTACAATTATGAATTGCAAGTCTTAGACCATAACACGTCAAAAAGTTGCTAAAATCTCTAAATCTTCATTTGCTTTTGCATGTCTATACCACTTAGGCGCCTATGTCATATATGCATGTCTTTATATTTACGCGTTCTCCAATTCTTTCAGGAATACTGTCCCATCATTGTCGCTTCAAATTGGCTCAGTCAATGTCTATCGTCGGATAAGACTGCGGCTCGGCTTACATAATAATCGCTCAAGCCTCAAATTTCCAGTTATGATGACAGAATTTTTCCGTCTGGAGCTTACAAACGATCCCACAGGGTTCCGAGTTCCCGTGTGATGTGACAAAACGCTGCTAGCTTTCGAGTTTAGCACGCTACACCGCTCCGCTATACTTCCGCAAGGAAGAGCAGTATTTCAACTTCTTGAGCTGGCGACTCCTTTCGTTCCCTTTGAAATTCGCGTCTTTGCCGGTTAAGGATTTTTTCTGCTTTGTTAGTTTCTTTGTCTACTACGGGTTGGACCGCATAAAGAGCCTCTTGCGAGGCATGGACGCATCACAGGCAGCAACAATGACAGTCAGCGTATTCGCCATAGTTCAACAGTTCTACATCGTTCGCAGAGTCAAGCCTGAATGCTTCCAGCCTCGATCGATATTGACCGGTCAGACTTTCGGCGTATCGGTATCAGTTGGTTCGGCAAGTGTCGAATCTCCTGTTTCCGACAAGCTGTTCAGCCACTGCGGCCTTCGGCGGCCTCGGACAGATCTCGTCCAGTCGGTCCTGATCCACCAGCTCCCGACGACACGGTGCATTTCGGGTGTCGCCAGAGTAACATCGATGTACGACAATCCTCTGGGCATCCTGTCGATAGGCGGCTGCGTAGCGTCGTTCACAACGTGAAGGTTAAACGCTTGGATGAATTCCTCCACCCGAAAACCTCTCTCGTCAAAGCTCTGGGGACCCCAGAGTGACGACCTCGCGTTGTGATCAAGATTAGGAGTCTCCTCAGAGAATGAAGAACCCTTTCTAGGTGTCTGAGGTACTCAATATCATCGCTGTGCTGGAAATAGCAAGACGCGACGTAGAATGAGAAGCCAGGAGTCAACACTTCCGCACACGAACAGTGGGGAGTGCTGAGTTGAAACACGAATGATACATCGAAGTTACAATTGGAAACGGCTACCGCCGCCCACACATATTATGAGCGAATGGCCGCCACGCTAACTCCGGATCCTAAGCCGCGTACTGTGCTGCTTGCGCTAAGCTTTCCAATATACTGTTCTGCAGTAGCAGAATGTCGAAACTCTTCTCGGCAACGAGATGCTGTACGCTGCATTATCCTAATCCCCGTGGATTTCGCGTTTCTGGAGTCCGGTGCGGCTGGAACTGATTTCGGTTTCGTTCTCGGCGCAACCTAGTTAGGGTTCTTTTACGCGCAGTGTTAAGAGCGGAGTTGTTCGCGGTGTTATTTGTTCTTGTGTTCGCGGTTCTAATCGCAGAGCTATTCGTGGAAATCCTCTTTGATCTACGGACTACAGTTCTAGCTGACTCTTGTTCATTCTCTTACCTAACGACGATGGCGTGAAGGCCGCAAACCTCGTTGGACCGTGCAGCCGTCGATGCGGTAAAAGAAGAAGCGCACCG